AATTTGGTTAACTGAGGTCATGGTGGAAAATGAAAACATTTTTACTACCTTAAGTTTTCTGTTGACCTGTGGGCTTTGTATGTTTATTGAATCCAGTATACCCTTCTTTAAACTTTATGTTCAGGTCATTTCTCCAAACCAAATATTTGAGACTTTTCTTTCATGTTAAATCACTCCTTAAATTTTCTGCTTTGGTTTATTAGATAAGGATTTTTGGTGGAGTGATAACATGGCTGGGGTGGTTTTAGCTTAATCCCCTGTTTGCTTTTATATTTAGGCTTATTATTTAATCTTAAGAACAAAGATCAATTTTAAAGAGTATTCTTAAACTTTGGTAGCTGAGCCAGGGCCATGATGTGCCCTCTAAATGGGGCATAGAGCCCTGGGGTTATTTAATGAATCCAGTTTCTGGGGCACTCATTTAGAGCAAGATGCATGAGGACCTTAGGTCTGTTTGCCATCTGGTTCTTGGTTTACCTCTGGGAAATTGTCTAGTGCAGTCACCTGTTGGGACTAGAGTATCACCTTGATAGTTCACCTTGTCTTTGGATTGTAGACTTACCATGTTTAACTGCTTTGGTTTTTTGAAAGCTACCTTTATAATAATGATATTTAACTATGATAATCCAAGTGCATTAAAGACGTGCCACATTCATACCTTGGTCCACCCACCCTCCATTAAGAGAGTCTGTTTCTAAATATTACCCGAATACTCATTCATTCAACAGACACTCACTGAGCTGTTTTGTGGCAGGCCCCTGCCGTGGGTGAGGGGCTGTGCTGAGTGTTGTGCAGATGATTTAGCAGGTCTGTTTTCAACATGCTTCCAGCTCGCTGGGGAGTCTTCGGGAAGAAGAGAGAGATGTCCAGCAGGAGACGAAGGAGATCATTTAAATGCATTGGCTTTTCTTTCCTTTTCTCTTCTTGTTGTTCTTTTTTTTTTTTTTTTTTTTTTTTTTTTAGGAAAGCACTGCACAAGGGTTTTTTTTTTTAATTTAGAAAATACCAGAAAATAAGAAGAAGAAAAAAAATCCTCCATCATTTTACCACCCAATAATAACTAACCACAATTAATGTTTCCATGTTTCCTACCTTTCAAAAATGGCTTCTGAAAACAAGCAAAAGGGGCTTGCAGGTGAAATCTGTTGGGGAGAAGGAAGAGGCCCTGGGAAGATGGCAGCATTTCCCCCCTTGGGCGTATGGCATCAGGCACAGCAGCTCTGGGGGTGGGGTGTCTGTTTTTCCTCAGGAGAAGAACATTGGGGAACAAAACCAAGAGCAGCTTTGACCTTAGGTTTCTCTGTGAATAGTTTCTAAGTTGCAAGTGAGTTGTGTTCTAAAACTTTGTAAGGTGGTAGTTGGCATTTTAGATGCTTTTCTCAAACCTTAATTTTATTTTAACCTGGTGGGTATGAGTAGGTCAGAGCCTGCCCTCAAGGACAGGGTGTGAGAGCTGATTTACAAATTACAGTGTGTCCACTGTGTGCTCATGCTTTAAGGCCAGGAAGTTCACAGCAGGAGAAACAACAGAAAAAACAGAAACAGTTTCATTTTTGAGGGTCTGTTATGTACTAGTACATTTTTGGATATATTGTCTCATTTAATTTTCCCAAAGCCAACTTTTGAGGAAGGAATTTCCTTCATTTTTACAGTTTAGATTTAGAACATGGGTGCAGAGGCTAAGTTGTGTTCCTATGATACACAGTGTTTCTTGGTAAGTGGAAGTGGTACCTACGGGCTTTGGGCCCTGAGCCGTGGTTTCCGTCTTACCACTGTGACCTCAGGAGATTCTTTAATCTCTTACCTGTTTTTAAAAAAGGGGACAGTGATGATGCTTTAATTTGCAAGGTTATTGTCAAGAAGAAATGAGATGATGTATGTCACGCCCTCCCCACAGTTTGGGTTTAGTACCAATAGATGGGAGCTCTAATTATTATTATTATTATTATTATTATTATTATTAATTTCTTGTGGAGCCCAACTCAGGGCTTGAACTCATGACTTTGAGATCGAGATCAAGAGCCGGACACTCAACCTGCTGAGCCACCCAGGCGCCCTTGGGAGCACTAATGATGATGGCAGGTGTATGGCAGCAGGGACAGTGTCTGGCACGTAACAGACGCCCCACCCAGTCCAGTCTGTGTCACTACCCATCCTCCCTTCTTGCAAGCCCTCCCAGCTTCTCAGCTGTCCTGGTCTCTTTCCCTTGGGTTTTTAAAGACCCTGATGGAAAGATACATTTCATTTGGGTTATCATGGTGGGTTCTTGGAGACATAAATTTCATCTCCATTACACAGGAACATCCCATCTCATCACAGTTATCTTTAAAAGGTTATCCTGAGCATTTTTGCCCAGGCGTCAGGTGGAGGAAGGCAAGGGTGGGAAAGCTCAGAGCTCCAATGAAGGAGAGGTCAGGGGGCAGAGAGGGAGGAATCAACTTGGGTATCTTCCCAGCTTCATCTGCTCCCTGCTGGCCTCAGCAAGGACTGTGCTAAGGCAAATGTGGCTGGAATTTGTAACTGAGAAGAGGTTAAGAGGGCAGGACAGGTACTTATGTATGACATTCTTGGTTCTCCTTGCGTATTCATGCTTTTTCATTCACATATTCAATCAAGAGTTTGTTGAAGCTCTCCTGGGTTCAGGTCACTGTCAGTCTTTGGGACTCACAGGGCACATCTGTTCTCACGAAAGCAAGCCAGGCTGACAGACGGGTTTCAGACAATTACAAGTTACTTATTAAGTGGCAGGATGGAGAGAAGCTGGGGGAGCTTTGTCAGAATATGTTAAAGTTATTTTTCTGTGTTTGCTTCTCCTGTTAGACCTTGAAGGCCAGGAATTGTGTCTTTTGCAATTTTGTATTCCCAGAGCCTAATCTTACATGCATCCCTGAATAAATATGTATAAGTTCAAAGCTGGCACAAGGAGAAGATAGTTTATAAATGGTGCATTTCAACTATCTGTGTATTTGTGGAAATCTCAACCCGATAAATGGAGACATCTGATAAGGCCTTGATCTATTTTTAGAAGGCAGAAGATGGAATTTGTGGCTCACTGATTTATGCTGAGAACTTTGGGTGAAAGTGGCTTCCATTTCTTCATGATGGAAGAGTCTTCTGGCCTAGATTTTTAGAAGGAGATTTCACAAAGCTCAGAGAAAAGATATGGTACCTCCAAGGCCAGCAGAACTATAAAAAGGAGTATGGTTTCATCCAGATGGGTGGGAAGCTCCAAGAAACAAAAGTTGTGATTGTAGATTCCAAATCACACTGATAAGCAAAAATGGGGCTGGCTTCTGAGAAGGCAGCGCAGCTGTTTGGGGCCATTGCAAAAGAAGCCAGATTTTTAAAAAATAACAGCTTTATTGATATATAATTCACATACCAAATTAACCCATTGAAAATGCACAATTCACTGGTTTTTAAGATATTCACAGCTTTGTGCTACCATCACCACAGTCAGTTTGAGAACATGTTCATCACCTCAAAAAGAAACCCATGTCCTTCAGCTCTTGGGGCACCGCCCCCCCCAATCCCTTCAGACCTAAGCAAGCACTAATCTCCTTGCTGTCTATAGAGTTGCCTAATCTGGATGTTTCATGTAAATGGAATCCTATAACATGTGGTCTTTTGTGCCTGGCTTCTTTAGCATGATGTTCTCAAGGATCATGCATCTGTACTTTATTATTATGACCGAGTAATATTCCATTGTACGGTTATCTGCCATTTTGTTTATCCATCACTTGATGGACATTTGGGTTTTCACTTTTTGTGTGTTAAGAAGAATGCTGCTGGTCATGGTAAGTTTTGGTGTGCACATGTTTTCATTTCTCTTGGGTGTACACCTATTAATGGAATTGCTGACTTCGGAAGTAACTCTGTTTAACCTGCTAGACTTTTACCAAAGTAGCTGTCCCCTTCGACATTCCCACCATCGGCAGTGTGTGAAGGTTCCTGTTTGTCCACATCCTTGCCAGTGCTTGTTGCTGTGCTCTTTGGTGTTTTTATTTTAGCAGTCCTTATGGGTGTGGAGTGGGATCTCATTGTAGATTTCATTTGCAGCTCCTTAATGACTAATGATGTTGATCATCATTCATGTGCCTTTTTTTTTTTTAATTTTTGTTTATTTATTTTTGAGAGAGAGAGCATGCGAGAGCAAGAACAGGAGCAGGGGAAGCAGGGGAGAAGGGCAGAGGGACAGGGAGAATCAGACTCCCCGCTGAGCAGGGAGCCCAATCTCTGGAATCTGGGATCATGACCTGAGCCGAAGGCAGATGCTTAACCAGCTGAGCCACCCAGGTTGCCCCCATAGTTCATGTGTTTATTGGTCATTGTATATCTTCTTTGGAAAAATGTCTGTTCAGATCCTCTGCCCTCCCTCCCTCCCTCCCTCCCTCCCTCCCTCCCTTCCTTCCTCTTAAAGATTTTATTTATTTTATTTTATTTGAGAGAAAGAGAGTGCTCACGCAAGCAGGGGGTATGGGAGAGGGAGAAGCAGGCTCCCTGCTCAGCAGGGAGCCCAGTGTTGGGGCTCTATCCCAAGACCCTGGGATCATGACCTGAGCCCAAGGCAGATGCTTAACTGAGCCACCCAGGCGCCCCTCCTCTGCCCATTTTAAAATTGAGTTGTATGTTTTTTTACTGTTGAGTGTTAAGAATTGTTTATATACCCTAGATCCAAATTTTTTATCAGATCTGATTTGAAAAAATTTTCTGCTATTCTGTGGGTTGTGTTTCTACTTTCTTAGGAAGCCACATTTAAGGGGTGTATAAAAGAGACAGGGGCACATAGTAAGCATGCAAACAAAAGAACAGACTGAATGCCAACAAATGTTTAGAAAGGTTATATCTAGAATGACCCATGACTTGTAGGGAAAGATTTGAAATTACCACAATAATTTAAGAAAACTTTTTTTGTAAGTATCATACACATCAAGTGCATCGTAAAGATAGAGCTCAGTAAGTCATCAGAAAATGAATACATGTGTGTAATCACCATGCAGGGTCAAGAAAGAGAAAATGACCAGCCCCAGAAGCCTTCTCATCATGCACCTTTGCCATCACTAGCCTCCTTCTTCCCCAAAGGTAACCACTCTTCACTTCTAACCATAGATTTGTTTTTACATATTTTTGAAATTTGTAGAAATGGGATCATAAAGGGTATTTTCATTTGCGCCTGGTTTCTTTTGTTTAATTTGTAAAATGTATCCATGTGTTCTTTGTAGCTGTAGTTCTTTTTTATTGCTCTCTAGTTTTCCATTGTATGAATATACAACTATTGATATGTTCTACTCATTTGGGTTTCAATTTTTGATCTTTGGCTGTTACATCCTTTGAGGGGCACATGGACATGCATTTCTGTTGAATATATGTTTAAGAGTGGACTTGCTGTGTTATCAAGTATGTTTGGGTTCAGCTTTAATAAAGATAAGGTATATACAAATTAACGTTCAGTGTATAATACAAGATGAGGAAGAAGAATGAAGCTAGACCCACTGTTTAATCTTCAAGGAGGGAGTGCAGAGTCATTCACTCCTCCTGCTAGCTTCTCTAGCGAAGAAAGTGGTTTTCAGACAGAAGGGTAGAATACAAAAGATGCAGTAAAGTGAGAGCGTTCTCACTCAGTTAAAGTAGGTAAAAGTCTCTAGGCTGAAATGAGTTGTTTCCTAGGATACTGAAAACTCTGCATTTATTTTCGAGGAACCCAGTTGGAAACTTCAAGAAATGAGAAGGTGAGAGAAGCTCCTGAAATCAGTGTTTTGTTTTCTAAAGAAAGGGAAATGGATTAAGTTGCATGTGAATTTCTGGCAGAAATTGAGTCTAGGTTTAAACAGGTGATTTGATAACACTGAGAGAAAGAGGTAGTGGTTATCTGGACCCAGCAGGGTTTCTGTCATTCCAAAAATATTTATTGGGCTTCCAATTCCCATAGGTTCCTGGTTCTCCAGGTGCTAGAATACAAAGATGAATGTCAAGCTTCCAATTTAGGATATCAGCTTGCAGCAAGTATTCTTAGTGCATTTCCTTGCATGCATCTTTTAAATGGCTCAACTGTGGGGGAAAACAGACCCATTCTGATAAGCAAGTGATTACCAAATGTATGCAGAGTGCCTGTAAAGCTGGTTATGAGGTGCTTTGTGGCCCTGGGAAGGAGAGGGGGAGAAGAGGAAGTCTTTGAAGAGGTGACCTTGCTTCTTAAAATAGGAAGAGACCAGGGGTGAGTGGATGAGGTGGTAGGGCAGGTACCAGCTAGTATGGGTGGAAGAGCATTTCTGCTATCCTGGGTAAAGTGATTATGAAAAGCTTTCTAGAAACGGGAAGATGTGACTGGCCACTGATTGGCCTCACAGTGAAAATCTTTGCATATCATGCTGAGGAGTTGGGACTTTTATCTTACTGGGAGGAAAGAGCTCTGGAAAGATTTAAATATCCTGGGAGCAGACAGATCAGATTTGCATTTAAAAAGTTTGCTAATAACGTGGAAAATAAAAAGTACTAATCTGGACCTGGGGCCAGGGGAGCCTCTTAAAAGAGTGAAGGTAGGGAGTATGCAGGCCAGGAGGCCAAGAAAAGGAACAGATTCTAGAGGGATTTAGGAGAGACTAAAAAATAAGTCATTTTGTGCTTATCTTGTGTTCTTCTTTAAAAATAGATTTTAAGAAAGAGAGATAGGCTATTAGTTAAGGGATTGCTGTCTTTTGATTTCAACAGAATGTCTCATTTAACAAAATGCTGTCTTTATGAATGAGATGGAAAATATGAACTGGGTGTTTGGTGGGTTTTGTTGCTTGTTGGAGAAGTGTACTTTAAAAATAGTAGTTTTAATGGATTTGCCTCAGCTGGGAGGGAAGCCTTTCCTACTGTGCTGTTAGACTCTACTCTGGGTTACAACTTTTTATCTTTTTTTTTTTTTTAAAGTAGTCTCCACACCCAACATGGGGCTTGGACTCAACAATCCTGAGATCAAGAGTCACAAGCCCGAGCCAGTCAGTGGAGTGGGACTCTTGATCTCAGCCCCACAACTTTTATCTTTTACTGAAATGGTTTTATTGTCGACAGATGTCCGTGTGAAGGAAACTTAGAAAGGTAAAGGTAATGTAGTTGACAGAAGCAAGGTTTTAAAACACACACGTTGAAGGAAGTGAAATTGGGGGAGGCCAGAAATTTTTTTCTTTAATATTTGAAGTGCAATATACATTAGTACTAAGTAGATATAGAGTATATGTGTGGTATTAAAATTTCATGGGGGAGTGTAATTAAGGAAAATGTCTAAAAAAATCTCCTTAGGGAACGATAGCAACAAAAGTTTGAGTAACACTGCCTTAGAAGAATTCAAGGGTTGGGGCACCTGGCTGGCTCATTTGGAGGAGCATGGGACTCTTGATCTTGGGGCTGTGGGTTCAAGCCCACACTGGGTGTACAGATACTTAAAAATAATACAATCTTTAAAAAAAAAAAAATTCAAGGGTTGGAATGGCGAGCTAAAAACTTGCTGTAGGAAGAGGTGGAGAGACCCCTGAAAAAGTCTACATTTAGGACCAGAAACTAAAGACCTCACTCTTAAGATGTGAATACTTCTTGATTTATATGTTTATGTGGAGAAAAAAAATAGAGTTAAGTTTCTTTGTTACTTTTATTTGACCTTAAACTCAGTATGTACAAGTCCACAAGGTGGATTTTGCTAGGAAACGAGTTAATGCAGCCTTAGGCTTCATTTATAAACATAGATGTTATAGAATTTAGAGTGTTAGTGTTATACCCCTAACTGTCCAGAACCTGATCGGGAAATAGGAAAAATGGGAGTATCCAGCAGATGATTAGGCAGATGAGAGCTCTGAGAACCACGTGGAGAAGTGGGAAGCCAGCACAGAGCAGAACTGGCTTACTGTTCAGCATACCGTGGCGGCGATAAGAATTACTCCTCAGACCCACAAGCATAATTGAATTGGGCAAGGCTGTGTACTTAATAAATGAATTAAATCAGTATTTATTAAGTGCCTGCTATCGATGCTAGCTAGCGTTGTTCTAGACACTAGAGACTCAGTAGTACATACTCAGCGAAATGGAAAAAATACTTATGCTCATGGAACTTCTAGTGTGTGGAGACAGACAATAAACAAGGTAGGTTTTAAAAGATATCTAGTATGTAAAATAGACAGCATTCAGATATTGACAAGTGCTAAAGAGGAAAAATAAGGGCGGGGGCAGAAAGGATGTGAAATCCTGGGGAGCAGTGGACATGTTCATGAAACCAGGCCAGAGAAAGCCTTATTGAGAAGGTAATTAAAAACAAAACAAAACTTTATATAATAGTATAAAAAACATATAGAAGAGTGCACAAAGTACGTGTGCAGTGGGATGATTTTTTACAAAGTGAATACATTTGTGTAATGAGCACTCAGATTAAGAATAGAATATTACTAGCCCCTGGATGGCTCAGTCAGTTAAGTGTCTGCCTTCAGCTCAGGTCATGATCCCAGCGTCCTGGGATGGAGTCCTGAGTGGGGCTCCCTGCTCAGCGGGGAGTCTGCTTCTCCCTCTGCCCCTCCCCCTGTGCATGCTCTCTCACTCTTTCTTTCAAATAAATAAATACCATCCTTAAAAAAAAAAAAAAAGGAATGTTACTAGCCCCTCAGGAGGCTCAGTCACCCCTTCCCAAAGTGTTACCCCTTAACTACTAATTCCGTAACTTAGAATTTGCCTGTTTGTGAGCTTTATATTAATGCAATCATGTATAATAAAGGCTTTTGTTTCTGACTTCTTTCATTCAACATGGTGTTTGTGAGATTCATCCATGTCCTTACAGGTATTTGTAGTTCGGTCATTTTTGTTGCTGTAGAGCATTCCATTGTATGATGATACAATTGTTTCCTCTCCTTGGCAAGTGAATAGTGCTACCTTTTCTGTGTATGTGTTTTTGGTGAAGACATTCTATAGGGGATATAATTAGAAGTGGACTTGCTGGGTCATGGGGTTTGGTATATTCATTTTAGTAGACACTGAGAAACAGCTTTCCAAGGTGGCTGTCCATCAGCACCTTATGGGAGCTCCACATTCTTGGCAACACTTGGCATTGCCTGCTATTGAACTGTAGCTGTTCTGGTGGGTGATACAGGGGTTCCATCGTGGCTGTAATTTGCATTTCCCTGTGGACTAAGGCAGTTGAGGACCTTTTCATATGTTTACTGGCCATTTTGATACCACTTTTTGGGGCAGTGAAAATGTTCTGTATCTTCATTGTGGTGGTGAGAAGTGGTTGTTATGGATATGTTTTGAGAGCAGGGCTGACAGGATATGCTCACGGTGTGGACGTGTGGAGGGGGAAGGAGAAGCCAAGAATGGCATTAGGTTTTATTTTATTTTTATTTTTTGCCTGAGCCACTGGAAGGAGGGGAATTGGGATGTTGGAGATAGAGAAGGTACAGGTTACAGATATAATTTTTAAAATTTTTCGGCATTTTGAAATAAATTAATCAGTTACATGATTTCACTCATATGGAATTTAAGAAACAAAACAGAGGATCATAGGAGAAGGGAGGGAAAAATAAAATAAGACGAAATCAGAGAGGGACACAAACCACGAGAAACTCTTAACCATAGGGAACAAACTGCGGGCTGCTGGAGGGGAAGGGAGTGGGGGATGGGGTGGCTGGGGGATGGGCCTGAAGGAGGGCACGTCATGTCACCAGCACTGGTGTTGTCTGCAACTGATGACGCACTGACCTCTGCCTCTGAAACTAATAATACACTATATGTTAATAAATTGAATTTAAAGACATTAAAATTTTCAGCATTTTATGAAGAAAGGCCATTTGAATACCAAAAGAATAGAAAGGATAAAAAGCATAAATGAATAAAGAGCAGCCCTTTAAATTGGATACATTGAGCTAGCTTTACGAAATACTCATGAACAAGGTTTTTTTCTTTCCCTCATTTCTCTGAGGACCTACAGTTGCAGGTATTGTTGTGCAGACTAGCTTCGGGAATCACTCATCTGCAGTATTACATATGTATTTTTGACTTTGATACTATTAACGAGTGAGCATCATATCCATCCTTAAACCTGCAATAGATTGAGGTTAGAG